ACCTCAACTGATATTTAAAAGGAGCAGTCTAAGCCAGGGCTACCAAACTGAGTACAGTATGGCAAAACATGTTATTCTGTTCTCTATAAAGCTTGTGCTATAAAATGGTATCCCAGAATGTTGTGGGGTTTTTTTTTCACACTCCCTTACCCCACCTCTTATTCTTTAACCACTGAGGCTAGGCAGTTTAATATAAAAATAAATCTTTTATTCTTTCTCACCAAAAGTCATCAATTACTGTAGCAAGAAAAAATTACAGGGCCCCAGAATAAGTAGGTCACAGAGAATTCCCTGGTCCTTCACAAAAGTATGAAAAGGGTGAGTGGCTTCCAAAAGTCTTGACTTAGGTGTTGGATTAGAGAACATGAGTTATCATTAGGGTTCTGACTGGAACCTAAGAGAAAGTGGGCAAGAGAGTGAGGGGTCTTGAGTGACATCAGAAAATCAGGTCAGAGGCAGCACTGGTAGTATAGTCTGTAGCTACTAACCAAAGTATCAGGTCATCCATGGAGAGCTGTTTTTTGGAGAGCGTGCACACGGTCCTGGAGCTGGGCTTCCTCCTTATGCCTTTCCAGAGCCTGTAGCCCAGAATGCTGCAGGAAGGCTTGGACTGCCTAGGGACAGGGTGTAAAAAAGTATTCAATACCTGGGTCTCTTGTACCATTAACATTCAGTTCTCAGCCTTGTAGTAAACCCAGACTATGAAAGTTATCCCACTTCTCAGAAGAACAGTTATTGTAAGAGGATGAATCCATACAGACTAGCCAGGCCTAGAGCAGTACCTAAAGTAAGGACTAAGAGAGAAGGGAGCCATGGTGAAACTAGAAGCTTTAAAGAAGGCAGACAGAGGACCAAGGAGACACCTACCTCTGGCCGATAAATGAACAGTAGCTGCAGCAGCTCCAAACTTTGGCCCACTACTTCAGTGTCAGAGGAGTTCAGTATGTCTAGCAAGGAGGGGAGCAGGGGTCCCGGCCACAGCTGCTGGCAGTAAGCAGGGCCTTTCTCTGCAATGTTGCACAGGACTGTGAGCACCTGCAGAAACACATGGGCATTGTCCTCACAGAGACTGAAAGCCAAAGATCCTAATAACAGCTAAAATATACAGGATGCCAACACCATGCTAGGCACTAACCCTAGCATTAAATTGTGTGTGTGCACGCGTATGTGTGTTTTTGGTGAAGATTTATAGCCGTTTAGGCTCTTGTCAGAAATTCACACAAACTGTTCAATGGTATTGGTTTAGTCTTCACAATGCATCAGTACTCTCACTTCTAACAAAACCCATACTTTTATTTATTTGCATTTAATAAGTTTAAATTCTCTAAGGATACAGCATTGTGTGTATTGTGTGTCCAATGGCCTTAGCAGGAAGGTTGCACCAAAGTTTGGCCCAAATCATGCCACTGTTTCCATGGGCACAAGTAACCTTTCCCCAGGTAACTCTTGATTTTATTAAGTTTGCCACCAAGTCTTTTTTTTTTTTTTGCTTTGTAAATATAAGCACATCTCTTCCCTAAATAAAATTCCAATTCATTTAAGGCATAACCACTTTTAAATTTTAAGAAGAGTTGTGTGTTCCCTCTGCTTCTGGGACCTTGTTTATAGCTAGCACAGGTGGACTTGCACCATAGTCTCCCAGCCATCTTGATGGTTTAGAAGTCCTATTCCCAGGAAGCCTTCATGAGCTTAAAGACGGCAGAAAAAGTATTCTCATCTTTTAAAGTAACTGTTGACAGTTTATACCAAGTACTTTTATATGCATGTTCTATAATCACCACAACCACTCTCAAAGTTTAGTTAATAAATAAGCTTGAGATGGTTAGTTGAATTGCCTAAGTTTTATCATCCTTAACATGCTTTGCAAATGCTACATTTTTGTGACAAGCCCTGTCAAGCAGATCTGTTGGTGCTGTTTTTTTCAATAGCAAATACCCTGTATCTCATTTTGGCAAGTCTCACAGTATTTTAAACCTTTTCATAAAGCTCTAAACACTTAACACAACTTTTATAGGCACTGAGAAATGAAAAATTCTTGGGACTTGGCTTTATTATGGTACTGTCTTTACTGTGATGGTTTGGGAGTAAAGCCACAGTGTTACCAAGGTGTATGCCTGTTACAAGTAGGCAGCAGTCTAGGGCCTCACACTTATTAGTGCTTCTCAAGTCACACCACACCTCCTGCCAGTTAACAGCTAAAGGCATTTCTAAGGGCTCAGGCCTGCTCCTACTGTTTAAACTTTGGTTACTAGTTACCCAGGACCTAATACCTACCAATATGCTCACCATATTAGATACTGGCAGCAGCTGCAAGAGAGGCTCAATCAGATCCAAGGAGAACAGAGAGGTACAGAAACTAGGGCTGTTTGCTGGAAGGAAATAAAACAAGGATGAAGCCCTCAAACATAGGCCCTCACCCATCCTACCTTACCCCCAGATCATAAATAAGTATCCCCAACTTAAACATCCAGGCCTGACAGAGATTGTTTGTACCAGTGAGGTTGTTAAGGAGCCACAGACCCTCAGGAAGCAGGCTGGGCTGTTTCTGGAGAAAGAACTGCAAAAGGATAAATAGGGCTGCCACAATACGCTCATCTCCAAACTCTATCTGGCCTTCAACATCTTCCACTGCTGTCTCTGTTAGCAAGTTGCTGAGACAACGAAGCACAGGGCACGCGAGCTGCAAAGATAAGTTGAGTGCCAAGTAAAAGAAGGAGCAATCTATATACCAGAGGAGGAACAGTGTGAAGAAAGTTCCCTCAAATCTTGATATTCTTCACCTACCAGTTCCAGTCCTGTGTCCTCAGTACTCTGGACAGCTCCAGCTAAGTCCAACAGCAGCAGCCCCAGAGTGGACAGAGCTCCATGGGTAATGAGCAATGCATTGTTGACCTGACTAGGTACACAAGAAGCAACCAGGTCAATCTTTCCTTTAAGTCAAGATCTGTGCATCTCTAGGCTCCAGAAGAGAGGAGCACAGAGAGAAATAATTGGCCAGAGCAGTTCCAGAGACCAAACTTCAAAATCTCTGACCTGTGTTACCTGCAAATGATGTAGTGAAGGCACCAGGCAAACTCCACAGCGACCCCAGGGCTCAGCTTTGGACTAGGTTGCAACAGTCGCAGAACATGTTGAGGAAGAGCAGAGGCCAGAATGGAGCTGCCAGCAGAAGCAGGGCCATGAGTAAGCTGCTTTTTCCTCTAATGTTGCTATTAGCCAACATCGCCATCTCCAACACATGTGACCCCATTGCTACAGTCACTATCTCAATCCCATCTCATCAAGGGTCTTCCTCTCTCATGCTGACCTCTTCACCTTTCTATGATATCCTTCTCTAAGAACTGACCCATCCTAACAATATGCCTAAAGTTTGTTTGATAGAGTTTCAACATCCTTTCCTCCAAGGGAGCACCCTGTTCTCACTTAATCTCTTTTCATTAGCCAGTGGGAAAGTGTCCATACTGAAAGCTCTTCCTAGCCAGTCAAAGTACAAAAACAATTTTGAAAATGAATCAAAAGGCATTCAGAGATTATACTATTGAGTAGGTCGTTAACTGCTACACTTCTTTGGACACAATTTACTTACGGAATGATCATCTCTGGAGCTTCCTTCACCTGCAGAAGCTGAGACAAGGCATATCCAAGGGCTTCTAGCACAGCCACATGGGGGGACTAGAAGCAGACAAGGTAGGACTCTGAAAGCTAGGCCATAAGATTTCCTGAGACCTTTAGCTCCTTCACACAGGGCAGAACCTGGAACTATTGTTGTTATGTGCTGTTGAGTCGCGTGGGACTCATAGCTACCCTATGTACAACAGCCCTAAACTCTGCCCTGTCCTGTTCCAACCTCACCATTTCCGACATACCTACCCCCATTACCCCAGCCACTAAATCAATACATCTCGTCGAGGGTTTCCCCCACCTGCGCTGTCCCTCCACCCTCCCAAGCATGATGTTCCTCTCCAAGGACTGGTCCCTCCTTGCAGCATGTCCAAAGTATGTCAGATGAAGCCTCAGAATCCTTGCCTCTAAAGAGTATCCCGGCTTCACCCTCTCCAGGACAAACCTGTTTTGTTTTCCTAACAGTCCATCGTATATCCAGTATTCCAACACCACAGCTCAAAGGCATCAATTCTATCATCCCTAGTGGATTGAAAATTACCAAGTAAAAAGAAAGGAAGTGGCCACTCACCTGGATGCATGCAGTCAATGCTGGGATTATTCCCTGTGGCAGAAGTTGCCTTCTCACAGCCTCACTCCCCACAATCAGATTACCCAGCGTATATAGACATAACTCCTGAGAGGAAGGCAACAAAAGCACTGTGGTTGGTGGACTTCACATCAGACTGGGGTGGGCAGAGAGGAGGTGAACAAGCCTGTCAAGGCTCTGGGCACAACAAGGTGGGAGATAATTAGTGCATATAGGACTATGGGCATCAGCAAGTTTTCTTCTCCCCTATACCTGCCAGTTCAAACTGAACCCAAAAGCATTACTTTTTAATCCAAACCAAGAACAAGGTAAGAAGCGAGAAGGCTTACTATGAAATCTGAGCTGTGACCAGAGAGGTAGGTGAGGAGGTAGGAGGTGGCTGGCAGACAGGCCTCAGCCACTACAGGCTGTTCAGAATGAGAGAGTTCGTGGAGACACCGAGCCGCTTCAAGCTGCAGCAGGGCCTGGTTGCTGGTCAGGAGCCCGACGAGGGTCCGCATGCTGCCCTCCAACCTATATGAGTGAGCACCAGAGCCCTTGCTCAGCCTAAGCCCCCTCCTCTCAAACACACACATTCTCTTCTGCTGCCCATTCAAACCACCCACACTGACCGGATAAAAGTCTGCTGTGTCTCAGGGTGCTGCAGGCCTTGACGAAGGTGGACTAGAGCTTTCTCTCTCTCCTTTTCCTCTGTCCCTTGCTGGGCTTGTCTCAGGAACTGCTGGATCTGGAACCCAGGGCAAACAGAAGTGGACAGTTTCCAGGTTCACACCATCTCTAGAACTTGCCTTCCCCGGCTTAGTGGATAATAAGCACCAATTTTGAAGGTTAAGGGCACAGAAGAAAATCAGATCTGAGTTCTCAGATCAGCCTGCTACTTGCTTCACAAGGGTCCTGAACTTGTTTCTTTGACTGAAAATTAGGTATATTTACCCTTCCTTCTTTAACTCAGAAAAACTCAAACTCATTGCTGCTAAGTCAGAACCAACTCATAGCTGACCCTCCAATGGATTTTCAGAGGCAGTAAATGGACCAGTGTTGCTTTTCCTTTCCATAGCTTTTGCACATGCTATTTCTTCTGCTTGAAATGCCCTCCCTACACCCTCAGTCCCTTCAGATTTCATCTCCTTTTCTTGCTTCTAGGATATTAGCTCTTCTAGTTTTCTCTGGCAGACTCAAGAGATTCCATGGTGCCCAGGCTTCCTCCCATTATAATAGGTGTCTCATGAGCTGTGGCGCTTGAAAGGGATTTACATTTTCATGTCTCACTGCTTAGCACAATATCTTGGCATGAAGTACACACAAAAATGAGCAAATGGGATAAACTAGATGTAAATACTTTGTAAGCTACTTATGTAAACAGGATTCTCATTGCCTATTATTTACTTATTTTATAAATATTGAGCACCCGCTTTGTACTAGAAAATGCACAGATTTCTGGATTTTCAATGATGAACAAAAAGTGAAGTTTAACGTATGTTTGTTTGAATTGGAGAAATAGCAAAAAAAAATGTGATTCACGTTCTGTAAGAAGTAAGCAGACTGTCAAAGTCTAAGAAGATCTACTTTAAATTCAACAACTGCAAAAGCCATGTATGAGGCAGAAAAGAGCCTGGTATGTTCTTCCAGAAATGAAAACAAGAGCAATGTGGCTGAGATGAGCAAGCAAATAAGGTTTTAAGTAAGCAAAGACTAGGTCATACTGGGCTTTACAGGTCACAGGAAGGATTTTGGTTTTTATGTGTGCTTTTAGAAGACATTATCGGCCTGATGTGTGAATGAACGAGAGGGCAGCACGCTGTACATGCAGGGTAATCCATGAGGAGGCTGCTGTAGAATCCAGAGAAGATAGTGGAGATCGTGGAAGCTCCGATGGTGAGGTAGAAAGATTCATTAGAAGGTAAAACCGATTTTTATACGGACTTTTTTATATAAAGATGAGGGGCAAGAGAGAGTTGTGAAGACTGCTGCCCAGTTTCCGGCTTGGCTTTTGGATTTGGTGGCCGAAGTTGTTCTACCGAACATGTTCAGGTTTGGGAAGGCAGTACCGGACAACTCACAGGAGGAAAATCTGGTGACAGTTAGGTGCCAGCTGGCGTGGACTGCACCACTCATCCTGCCCCCCCTCGGTTCCCTCACCTCGGCTTCCCCGAGGACAGCAGCCACCCCTCCGGCTTCCTCCGGGATGTCCTCTCGCAGCAGCCTCTTGCTGATAAGCTGCTGCTCCCTCCGCGCCTTCCGCAGTGCTGGGGGTGGGGGGGGGGGACGAGGAGTTGATTGAGTGTGGCAGAGCATCTGGTCCCAGGGCTACCTGGTCCTATTTCTTCTAAGCCCGCCATACCCCTCCCCAGCCTGTGTTCCCTGGCCCACCCACACCTGCTTCCTGCTCCCGCCTGCAGCGCCGCAGCTCTTCCACCCCACAAAACACGGGCCTGAAGCGGCCCTGCTGTCGCCTCCACATGTCGTGGGCGCAGGATAATGCGCAGACTCCACCAGATTCAAAATCCTGGAAGATGTCTTGAGCTGCGCAGCTGCAAAGCGAGGGTAGAAGGGGCGAGAGACACCACCGGATAGGAAGGTGGGACTCAGGGCGGGTAAAAGGTGGGTCACGCTGGACGGAGTGACGGACCGACCGAACCAGGACAGAGCGCTGTGCAAGCGTAAACCCTTGTACAACGCAGCCCCGCCTACCTGATTCTGATTGGTTACACCATTTCTGATTGGGTTTCCTGATTGGTTACTTTGTTCCTGATTCTAAGACAGACATTTAACCCAGTCTCTGAGGACAGGGGCTGGAAGCGTCACCAGCCACGCTCAGCAAACAAAACCTTCGCAACTCAAACACACCCAAGGCAAACATTCAAAACTACCCAGAGAAAGAAAAGCACAAAAGCCAAAATTACCCCAAGCTCTGAGAAGAGCATACAAAGACTTACCTAGTAACACAGTTCTAAGTAATAAACTCAATCCCAGCGCCTGTCACGATGCCAAATGCTAGATGTTCATTACATTACTGAAACTTTGTGAATAGGAACATTATTCCCATTTTAGAAATATAACTACTTCACTATATAAAAGTGAGTTTCCTTTCCTCGCAAGGCATAAGAGAAACAATTTTTTTAAAGGGGGGAACCCAAACAATCCTCAAATTTCGTCACTTTCAAAATTTTAATTGGGGTCAACGAAGCTGAAAAACCAGCATAGTGGCTTTAGCAATGGGATTGAGTATGTCCGAGAATGTGAGGCTGGCACAAGGGTAAGAAAGGGTTTTTGATCTGTTCATAGGGTCTCTGAGAGTCTTACTCCACTGGATGACACCTAACAAGAACAAATTAGTCTGTCTAGGAGGAAGTGCAAACAGGGTCTCCTTAGAGGCAAGGATGATGAAACTTGGTCTCACTATTCGGACATGTTATCAGCAGAAACTGTTATTGTTATGTGCCTGAGTCACCTATCACCTACAACTCATGGCGACCCTATGTAAAGCCTGTCCTGTCCTGAGCCAGTCTTACTGATTCTGACACACTTACCCCCATTGCCCTAGTCACTGTATCAATCCATCTCATCCAGAGTCTCCCTCTCCTGCTCTGTCCCTTCCCTTCTGAGCATGATGTCATTCTCCAAGGATAGGTCCCTCCTGGACACATGCCCAAAGTATGTGAGAAGGAGCTTCAAAATCTTAGCCTCCAAGGAGAAACTTGGTTTCACCCTCTCCAAGACAGACCTATTTGTTTTCTTGGCAGTCCCTGGTGTGTTCAAGATTCTTTTCCAGCACCACAGTTCAAAGGCATTGATTCTTCTTCTGTCATCCTTAGCCATTGTCCAGCTCTCTGATGCATAGCAAAATTGCAAGGACCATGGCCTGGATCAGGAACACCTTAGTTTCTAACTGACACCGTTTCTCCTCAGTAATCTGGAAAGGTCCTTGACAGCAGATTTACCTAATGCAATTCGTCTTTTGATTTCTTGACTGCTTGTGCCAAGAATGCTGATTGTGCAGCCAAGCAAGCTGTAACTGTTAACAACCTCAATCTCTTTTCCATCTCTTTTAGTGCTGCCAACTAGTCCAGTGGTGAGAATCTTTGTCTTCTTGATGTTGAGCTTCAATCCACATTGAAGACTATCAGCAGAAACTGTTGTTGTTGTTGACTGCCATTGAGTCGAGCACGACTCATAGCAACCCTATGAACAAAAGACCTGAAGTCTTTCTTTAACTATTGTTATTTCTCAAAGTTCAGGAAGTTGTTTAAAAAGTGGATGCCACTCCTGCTTCCAAACATGTCTTAATCTGGGAGTGCCAACCAACACTGTCCACAATGCCTAACCATTATGTCATTCAGCACTCCAAAGGCACGGAGTTCAGCATCACAGCTAGTCCAGGTTACCTCAGTACAGCAAACTGACAGACCAGTGCTGCACCACTGAGAAAAATGTTCCTCTAAATTATAATTACACTAGCAGGCCCAACTGACTTTTAAATACCAAGGCCCTTCCAGGAGGTAGAGGTGGTGTTGACTCTAAACAAGAGGCTTAAATAAAAAACAATCAAACATTCCACACGATCCTCAACCAAAACAAGAGAGCCCACCTTTCAGAGTTGAACTGCTTCTCAGCAGAAACTAGCCCTGACAGAAATACAGACATGATAATGGGAAAGGTGGAAGGTCAGAGAAAGAAAAGATTCTCAAGGAGAGATGAATTGACACAGTGATTGATTCAAGTATAGCAGAGATTGTAGGATGGTGCATGATAGGGCAAAGGTCAGACCTGTTCTTCTTAGGGTCACTATGAGTCCTAGTCAACTCCACAGCATCTAACAAGTAGGAAGCTCTGGTGGCGCAGTCCATAGGAATTTGTGCTGCTATGCCAAGTGTAGCGCCTCTTTGACTGTTAGAAACCACCAGCCTCTGCAAGAGAAAGATGGTAATCTCTACCCTTGCAATCTCCTTCAAAAACCTGCTGGAAGGTCAGCTAAGAGTTGTCCAACTGGATAGCCGTGAATGAAGGAGGGAGCTCTGGTGGCTTATCCCATAGTATTATGAAGTTGTTGAGACAATTAACCTCTACCCAAATTGGTCCTCATCTACATGGGAAGATTATTGATGTTGTAAGAAGCAATCTTCTATAAGGCTGGCCGGTCATTCCTCTACAGTGGTCAGGAGCCCCAGGAGTTTATCCTCCTTCACCCTGAATTATAATTGTGTCCTTCTTTGCCTCCTCCAATTACTGAGAGCACTTGAGAGACCACATCCTGTCTGTATCCGAAGGCTTGTTACCAGACCTGGCACTTAGCAAAATGATGATAGATGTTTGGTTTTTTGTTTTTGTTTTTGTTTTTTTATTGGGAAAAACATATTGGGGGTACAAGGAGGTGAGGGTTGGGGGCAGAAGGGGGAGGGTGGGCCAGGATACAGTTGCAGAGCTGCTCAGTTTGGTCAGTGGGGGGAGCAGGTGAAGGAAATGATGAGGGTCCAGTGGGGACCAGATGCTACAGAGGAATGACAAGCATTTTCCAATAGTAA